CTTGCTTGAACAATGTTTTATGAAACGCCCGCAGTCAAACCCAAAAATTTAAATCACATGACGCTGCTCTTCAGAATAAATAAGTACAGATAATCTTCATTAATGGGAACGAAACTGACGATCCGGTGAGGTCACAACGTTTTACACTGTAAGTTAACCGTAAGATAATATAAGTTTTTTTTTTTTTTTTACTGCTAATGTTATTGCGCCAAACTTAGATGACTTTTGTTTTTTAGGTCAGATCTTTGTCCTAAACAACAAGTATGCGAAATATTAGAAGCAACATGCAGTAATGAAGCAAAGAAATATCGTCTTGTGCAATTTGTTTCGTTTTCAAACTTTTGACATATTTGCATTGATATGACACAATGTGCGACATCAGCTACAGCAAAGTGTTATCTTTAATTAATGTATTCATGATCACAAAACTCAAAGGCGAAAAATTAGCCCCGGAAAATTTGGAGCCCAAGAAGAATTATGAATTTTGAAATTATTTAAGAATATAAACCTTTTACGGACTCCAATAAACGGTTATGTGTTAAGCACTAAGAGAACACACATCACACACAAATACGTGAGCGAACCAAAAAATATACAAAATTTTACACAGAGTTCCTGTATGCAGTTAGTTATGATATAACTTGTTCCACCCACACTCTTTTAGCAACTGGACAGTAATAATGACAGTAATAACTGTGTAGTTATTGGAATAGTCGCTAAAAGCGCTGTAGCTGTCGCAAAAAAAAGATTAAAAAGCCAAAACATATAAAACATATTTTAATAGACGTATTGTTTCGGAAACTGGAACACAAAGGAAGCTTTTTCCTTTGTTCATTACCTCAGTTTTGTGGATAAAAAGCCATCATATTTAAGCTGACTCTAAGCTGCCGTTGTTAAATAACAAAAGTAGAAACTATCGCACAAAAAAAAAATTAAAGTAGAGAATGGAAACTAATTTCTTTTCTTAAAAGTTTTTCTTGTCTTTATAAATTCAAATGAGTGCAGTGAATGTGTGAACTCAAGAAATTATGCAAAAAACCTGGTAGTGAAAAGAAAGAATATATATCTAATACTCAGGGCCACCTGCTAAGACGGTTTCATTGATAAAGCTAGTAGGAAATTTGTAAATTTTTGAATTTGTAAATTTTCGCAAACCTGAATTATAAGAGAGAGATTTTACTCACCAAGAAAAAAAAAGATTGTAGACTATAAATACTTCGTATTTTAGTGGATAGTACCTACGAGTACAAAACTCGACAAAATGCCACTTACACCGGCCAGGACCGACAAGGAGACGTTCAGTTAAAGGTATATTAGCTTTGTTTTGTTATATGTTGACTTCTAGGCTATTTTAGTTGGTTTTTAAATGTGGCGGCTAGTAAGAGTGTCAGATTCGGTAAGAAACAGAGAAATTTCTAGGGGAAAATAAGCCAGCACAAGTTAATATACAAAGAGATAATGGTAAAGATATGTTTATCTGAAATATTACATACTTTTAAGAGTGAATGTCAGTAGTATAGGACATGGGGGTCCGAGTGCAGTTTTATATTTCAGATTTAACCTTGGGAATTTCCAGAAATTTTGGCGTGACCCTGGGATTTTCCCGGAATTTGGGTATCCGTTTTGAACCGGTTTGGGGCTAACCTATTTAAAGAGATGGCGCCTTATAATAGTATGCAGAATATGAGTGCAACTATGACTAAAAATAATGCCAACCAACAAGAAGCGAGAAATGGCCCTATTGTTGGTTTTAAACAGTCAGAAGCAGATTGTTCTATGACTGATCCAAGAAAGAAATAATATACAGTAATAATATTATGAGTCGACGTAATGAACTTATAAGAAGATTGTTATCAGGGCTCACAGATAGTGAGCTGGAGAATTTAGTACGAGTGAGGGAAGAAGCACGCCCTATTCCTGCTGCGAGGAGACAGAGAGAAGCACGCCCTATTACTACACCAATGAGAAATGTCCAACAATTAATACTGCATTTTGAGGCCAATCCTATTCCACCGTATAGGCCTATTCCAGCTCCCAGAATGAAAAAACAGCAACCAGTGCCAGCACCAAGGACAAGAATGGGTGAAAAACGAATGGCACTGAAGGGTTTTACCAAATCATATGAGATTGGTTTGAAGTCTGATAGAGATGCTTTGGTGCAGTTGCAAAATACGAGACTGGCACATAGTCGATTATTTAATATTACTCCTAATGAAATAAAAGGTTTTAAATTTGTGGAGACTTTAAAAGTTACATTTGTTAAGAGGAAGGATGAGCACAATATTTATAAGCCAGCCTATTTCAATAGTCGGGCGCAAATAGTAATTATAACCCCAATGATTTTTTACCAAGCTTGGGGGAATCACAACAGCAAATACTGAACGGTATTGGTGTCTGGGTATCTGAAGGCAGTGGTTGGACTATTAGCAGCATTGATGAGCACTATATTAATACAGTAGTGTATAAACCGACTAAAGGCAGCTCATATATACCACTACCAGTGGGGCTCCAAAATTCTACAAAGGGTTTGGTAAACCTTAAAAATGATGACAACGAGTGTTTTCGTTGGTGACATATACGATATTTGAACCCACAAGAAAAGGACCCACAGAGAATCAAAAAATCAGACAAGAGGATGGTAGAAGATTTAAATTACCAGGATATTAAGTTTCCCGTTAGTGCAAAAGATTATACCAAAATTGAGGTGCAAAACAGTATAAATGTTAATGTTTTTGGCTATGAGTACAAGCAATTTTATCCTATCTTTGTTTCTAAGCAACATAATGAGAACGTTTTACACCTGCTGCTGATTGCAGAGGGAGAGAAGCAACATTATGTGCTAATCAAGGATTTTAATAGCTTGATGTACAATAAGACTAAGCATAAGGCGAGAAAGCATTTCTACATGTACTGCTTACAATGTGTTAGTACAGAAGAGATATTAACTAAACACAAGGAGAATTGTTTGGTGATAAATGGAGAAAGTAACTGGGTGTCAACCATGCGGGGATAAATCTTATACCAACAAATATCAAAAGCACACTGGCTGCAGCTATGGTTACAAAGTAGTGTGCTGCTATAACGATAAATATAAGGCAGTGAAAATTTACAGAGGGGAGGATTCCATTAATAAGTTCATGCAGCAGATGCTTTTAGAAGTACAATCTGTCAGAAGATTATTAGTACTAAATTCAAGAAACCTCTGAATATGACTAATGAGGAGGAACAAGAGTCTGAGACTGCAGCAGAGTGTCATATTTGTGGACAGAAGTGTGGTAATAAAGATATCCGGGTCTGGGACCAGTGTCATATCACTGGACAGTAAACGGGATCGGCACATCAGGATCGTAACCTCAAATTAAGGATGAATCCAAAGGAGTTTAAGATCCCTGTAATATTCCATAATCTACAAGGATATGATTCCCATTTCATAATGCAAGAGATTGGGACCATAGGAAAAGAGCATGATTTTCATGTTAGGGAAGCATCTTTTATTCCTGGACAGTTTCCAGTTCATGGCCAGATGGCTGCTAATCTTCCTGCGGACGCTTTCAAATGTACATCAAAGATTTTACAGGATGAGAAACTATCACTTATAAAAAAGAAAGGGGTATATCCCCATGATTATATGCATAGTTTCCAAAAATTTGATGACAAGCAGTAACTCCCAAAGAACATTTCTATAGTTTTTTAATAGATAAGGATATCTCTGATGTGCAATACCAACATGCTCAAAATGTATCGAATACTTTCAATATGAAGGAAAGATCTGTATCTGAAGTCTGATATTCAACTATTAGCTGATGTGTTTGAGAACTTCCGTTATTCCTGCTTCAGTATTATAAATTAGATCCGTACCACTATTTTACATCTCCTGGGCTATCATGGGATGCTATGATGAAAATGACTGGAATTAAACTTGAGCTTATGACAGATGTTGATATGTTCCAGTTTATAGAAATGGATTGCTCGGTGGTATTTCCTATATTGCTAACCAGCATGGGGAAGCTAATAATAAGTATATTTCTGGATATGATAGCAGCAAACCGAGTAAGTATGTTATGTATCTAGATGCGAATAACCTTTATGGGTACGCCATGAGTCAGAGCTTCAAAAAGTGTAACCTCATGTAATGTTGATTCCCCTGAGACCAAGTGGTGTGACAGTTTCAGCAAATCAAAAGGCGGTAAACTATACTTAGCGCACTTGTGTTGTTTCCTCGGCGGCACGCGAAGACTGAACTTTAATGTGGTACGCTTTTATTGTTTATTCACAAAAATCTGGCCCCGGCAGTCAAGGAAAATGAAAACTTGATGCATTGTATTAATTTGGGGGCCATTAATGTAAGGTTTTAACGAAGAGAAGCTTGTAAAACAACACTGAGTTTAAGCAAAGTTAAATTTTTCCATGTGAAACAAGCAAAAGGATCGATAAGGAAAGCTTGATACGAAGAATATATAGTCGCATCTGTTGGAAAATCTGATGTTGGGGAAAAAATCTAACCAGCAAATGGAAAAATAAGAATAAAAAAGAATTACAAGCTTAAAGCGAACGACAAAGGAAAAGAAAACAACGCTATTTTTTTCGAAACCTGGCCGAGTTTATAATAAAGTGAAAACAAAATACCGACGTGCCGTACATCGCATGTCCTTGAAAACATTTCAAGCGGCGCAGCCAATCATTCTAAAATTCAATCGGGAACTCGACAAAAAGCCTCGGGAAATTTCAGAGGAGGTTTAAATGATTAAACAGCACAAATATTTATCTACAAAGTGAAACCGAACCGACACTAATTTTGTAGTGGTAAGAGAAACGATCATTTTTTATATTTCCCCCTAAATATTACCGATCGCTTCCTCTCCAAGCTGTTTTACTCTTTCAAAAAAGTATGCCTCATGACACTTCCAACTTTTATATAGCAGGTTCGTAAAGCCACAGCAGTCTGAGGACTGACTCTTCTCTGAACCTAGTTTATACTTGCATAGCGCCTCAGTTTTAAGGAAATAATCCTTTCAACAGGAAGGGACCAAGAAACTGTCAAATGTTGGAAAAAAGGAATCCATTCCTATGCAAAATACGCATTATTTGCTCGTTGGCACTCTATCGATAGGTATACCTAGTTTTAATACACAGAAATGAATGAATGCTAAGAATGCTTTTGAGAAAGACTTTTTTAAGCTTATGAATAATAGTGTCTATGGCAGTAGTATACAAATATGGGGTTACCAGGACAGTCTCTTTAATTGACCTTGGGATTTTCCAGGAATTTGGGAAACTGGTTTAAACCGGTTTTGGGCGGTTTGAGGTATCCGGTTTAAACCAGTTTTGAAACGTGCTTTAATAAATACTGAAGGGAGCCCAATTTCCCCCTTTTCTAAATGTGATGATGTCCCCCAATTGTATTATTTCTTAGCCAAAGCCTTGTAATATAAAATTCTTGTGTTTGTTTTGTTTGTTTCTCTTATTGACCTGTTTTATTACTAACAAGTCTCATTTTGTGCTGTTTTAGGAGGCCAAATTTCCTGGATATCATACCTACTGGGCTGAAGCACAGACAAAAGGTTACAATGGAGTTGGGTGAGTATGTTACAGGCCAAAATTAAATTCAGGTTAAATTTTTTTAACCTGGGTTGATTCTCTATTTCCTTTGTCTCCTAGTGCCCTAATTCATGAATAATTAGGGCTAGGGGACAAAGGAAATTGAGAATCAACTTAGGTTAAAAAAATTTAACCTGAATTTAATTTTGACCTGTAACAATTAGTATGTAAATCCAATAAAGCAATTCTAAAGTGAAGTATTGTTTTGTATGAAAACGTGCAAGTCTTTTGTACCGGTCCAAAGTCTGAAAATAAGTTCAAAAGGCATGATAGCTCTTTGAAGTCATTCTTATTATAATAGACCTATTCGGCTAACTCAATGTTGTACCCAATTCAGACCCATTGGGAATAAAACGTTTTGTTTCAGGAATTTCCATATCATTTAAATGTGAATGCTACATTATAATGCAAATGCAATACGCAAAGAATCTTATCCCCGGGAGATTTGAATTGGGTACAACATTGAGTTAGCCGAATAGGTCTATGATAATACTTTTTAAAATATTAATAATGATGATTATTTAACAATTAATGAATGAGGCTGAGTATCTTATGAAGAATTATGGAGATCGAGGAGGGTGTTATCCGTCGAGGCCGTAGGCAGAGGCGGATAACACCCTCCGAGACCTCTATAATTTTTCATATGATACGAAAGCCGAATTCAATAATTGTTTTATTATTCATTCAAAATAACTTCTAGTTTAAAAACATGGCTAACACATGCTTACCTCCATAGATCCATCGATGTTAAGTTCATCTTCGATAGTGCACGTTTAGGGTTGTCCAGCTCCGCAAATATTCTCCAAATAGCAGACGTCGCCCTTCGAATTGTCTTCTTGCTGTTCTTGCCATGCTTTTAGTTATTTTTTCGCCTAGTTCTTACTCTTGAAACGAGTGAAATGTCCGCCATTTTTCAAGTTCACAAACAAAACAACCCAACCTCGTCCCCAGGTCTTTTCGGTTAAAGGTGCATTAACCTGCAAGAACGCTGCACTTTTGACGTCATTTCTTCGTTAAACACAAAATTCTTCCAAATTTGGTCATCAGTAGCTGGTTATGGTGAATTAAACGTGTGCTTTTAGCCAATGCGAATCGGGGATATATTTTGAATGAATAATAAAGTACTTTAATTATCCTTTTGATCTCGATCCCCTTATGGTGCTTTTCAGGGATAATGAAACAATAGATTTAAATGGAACATAGCATTGTTAAAACAACCGACTGGTAGGAGAGGACCCGGTTGGCAAAATCTAGGTAGTGGCTAGGGCAGGACATGAACTTGGGGCCTCTGAATTACAAGTCCAGCACTTTAACTACTCAGCCACCCTGAATTATGACGTGAAATGCAAAAAAATTTTGAAATTTTCTGGGTTTGATTGGCTTAAAAGCGTGTGACGTTGTAGATTATTTTACCATGCAAATTATTTAAAAAAATTGCAACCTTTTACAAGAAAAGGCCAGGGTTTTTTTTCCACCCTTTCTACCCTCAGCTACTTAATTGATCCAAATTCTGCAGTGGTGCCTAACCTGGGGTTGCATGGATACTCAGAACTGATGCTCCTCTTTTTAGAACCAGCTTTTCTAAGGGATTTTAGTGCTCATGTGCTTTCTTTGAATATGCATTTCAAATAATTATATAGGTTGTTAGCTTATCCATGTTTGCCCTGTATCTGAATTGTTATAATTTTTATTTTTATTTTTTTATAGTTAAAAATGCATTATTAGAGTGGGCATTGACACGCAACATCAAAATTTATCTAATGACTGTTTACATGAAAGTGGCCTTACAAATTGCATAAAGAGTTCAAGAAGGCAAGACATTTGTTCAAAGAATGACTAGAGTGGTTAAAACCTTCCAAAAACATCCATCAAGTGGCAAATTTACTTGCAAAAGTCCAGTATTCAGTTTATGCATAAATTAAAGCCTTACTAAACACAATATCGCGAAATTCCATTCTTGTATTATTATGCTTGTGCATATGAAACAAGGTTTTTTAAAATTTTCCCCTTATATTACCAGTCGTAATGTTACGGTTATTGTTTTTCTTTTTTTCTTTTTTCTTTTCATGGGAAGTCTCTACTCAGGCTAAAATGAATGTGTCTGCTTTCAGAAGGCTAGCTCTTTGTTGTAAAGCCTATTCCTAGTATACTACATACACCAAATCATTGTAGTAATATTACATTAATTATTAAATTGATATTCTTTTGATTATGTATATTTATTTTAGACTCTGCAGCAAGACAAAGCCATTGAATGTATCCTATGGTATAGGTCAGTTGTTATGTTTTAGATGTTGTAGCACTGTGAGGCTCAAGGTTTTTCTTTACTTGTCATGTACATTTTCTAGATCTACACAGAAATAAGTACTTTTGATTAATGCTGATTTAATTTAGAAGAATTACTCTGAACACGACAGAACAGTTTTTGTTTTCTCATTTCTAAATTTGAAAACATAACAATGTCAACCTGAATTTGCTATGAAATGTATTGTAAATCTCAGTTATTTGTGCATTTTCCTGGATTTTACACTGTACAGTATAAGTATTAACATTATAATATAACATTAATGGTATCTTGATTGGTTCTTGTTTGCCGATAATCTAGGGGTGATGGGAATAAGGTACTAAGTGTCTCCTGATGCAATCTCTAATTCTCTCTTTGATTGACAAACACATAAAGGAAAATTAAAGGGAGAATCTAGTAGTTTATCAGAAGTCACTTGGGAATTAATTGCATGTACTTTCACCCTGCAGGAATGTCTCTTATTTACAGTTAAAAATAAACAGCAATACTATTCTGGGTTGCAAAGAGTCAAAATGTATCATGTTTTTTCAGGCATTGAAGAGCGTGACAATGAAGGAAGAGTTATAACATCTGAATTTAAAGAGTTTTATTCAGTGGTATCACGTGAGTGTAGTCTTATACTAATGTACATCGCCAAATGCTTGGCTCTACATGGTTCTTGTATATTAAAATGCACTAATACAAGGGCTATAACTACTGATATCATTACTACTATAGTTGTACAATAGAGTGTACTGCTATGATGTCAATGATGACAACCACATCCACTACCACAACATGCCCTCATAGTTTAGCAAAATCTTTGTTATTTTATTATTATTATTATAATTATTATTATTATTATTATTGTTATTATTATTTACAGTTAACGTATTGAAAATAAATGTTTCTGTATGTATTCCACTTTTTTCTATTTTATGTGTGCCTAATGCAGGGCGTGGTCTTTCAAGGTAAGCACAGTTTGAAGAAGAATACGAAAGGGTCAAGGGTCATTATTTCCACGTCAGGACCTCACTTGTCTTTAGCTGGTTGGGGACATATAGAGGGCCACAGGTTCAACAGTTCTTGAAAACGAATTTTCTCTGAACAATGTCAATACATCATCAATAGAAAAGGTTATGAGAGTTCAAATTGATCACGTGGAAAAGACACTTTGATTCTCTGTAAAATTTTGTACACAAATTCTTTAAGGAAATGTATGGAGGTCACTTTGGAAAATGAGTTATAACAGGCTCCTCCTTTTAGCGGTATAACTCCTCCTAAAAGCCCCTATGAAACATTCATAAGCGGTAGTTTGCGGTATTGAATTTTCTTCAGGTTGTCCCTCTCCTCAAAAACCAACATGTTCAAATTCTTATTCGACCCGGAAAGTGTGTCCGTATCAGTTCTCGACTGAAACTATCAACTGTATTTCTCTCTACTTTCCTTGCAGGCTTGACTACAGACAGGGTTGGGATAAAGACTTCAGGGATTACGTCAAGAATCTAGACAAAAACAAACCTATTATACTGTATGGTGACCTTAATGTTGCTCACAAAGAAATAGGTTAGTTTCTGGCTGTTAATCCTGTTAATCAATTATTCTTCTGTTTAAAAAATACACCCATAACCGTGCGTATAGAATGGGAACAAGCTTTTCACACAACGATTCCTAGACTGAACAAGCGTTAGTTACGATTTTTCAATGATATTCAAAGTTAACCATTTACTGGTTGGTATAAGATCCCATCACCCTAAAACTTTTTAGACACCTTATGAAGTTTACGCAAATTAGTATTCCTTATCGCTTCCACACTATACATCCACAGTACTGGGGAAACCGAAGCCATGAGGAATACTATGTTGTGTAAACTTCAAAAGGTGTGCAAGGTGTTTTTAGCCGATGCAAACCAATGCTAACCCCATTAACCAATAACGGCTTGCATTTTCTATCGAAGCAATCCTGAAAACCTTTCTACCAATTCTCCTGTAGACAGAGATTTTGGAGAACTCTTTCCACGTTAAAACCGCTCATAACTGATACTACATCTATTTCCTCCCTTTCCTTTCTTAAAGACTTGGAAAACCCAAAGACCAACACAAAAAGTACTGGTTTTACAAAAGAAGAAAGACATGGTTTCACTGAACTCCTGGAGGAAGGCTTTGTTGATTCGTTTCGTCACTTTTATCCTGACAAACCTAAACAGTATTCATTTTGGTCGTATATGAGAAACGCCCGCGCAAAGAATGTTGGCTGGTAAGTTACAGCTGTAGTTATAACGCGTTATTATTTGCGAAGTGTCTTATCCATACTTTAGCAAACATTGGGAAGCTTGTTCAAAGGCGACAGCAATGAGAACGTCATAAAAGAAACAGGTTTAATTAGCAAAACAGCATCACTACACTCGCATCACACCTTTTGGTTCGTTCCTTTGCCATCAGTGCACGACTAAGCTTCGTACTTGGTGCCCGAGTGCGGTACTCGCTTGGCACAAATCTAATACAAGAGGGCAGTTGCGGTCGATTCGCCTGAAAGCGTTCGCTAGGACTTAAGTCGATTCGCCCGATGACAGTACAACACTCTACAACGTGGTGAACCTACTTCTTCGAGATGTTAGAGAACCTACTTCTCAGAGATCTTAATTGGTGTTGGGTGTTCTGTGCCTTATTGGGTGTCCTATGCAATTAATAAGGGAGATTATTTCGTCGTCGTCGACAGACATTTGCCTCACTGTGAAGTGCTTACTTACGTTTTGTCTCACTTTGACGCGCTTACTCACGTGGTGTTTCGTTTGTCCTCGGCGTTCATCTTTCAAAGGTTTGCCAAGGTCTGATATTCTGTCTTGGTAAAGCGTTAGTATTTTAAAAGTTTGCTGAATCTTCGTAAAGCGTACATCGATCTGTGTTTGCTGAATCTTCCAAAGCGTTCATCTTTCGGAAGTTTGCTGTTAAATTTTACTTTGGATTAAGCCTTCATAACTTTCAGTAGGGTTCGTCACTGTCTTTGGAAAATGTATGCGATTCCTGGTGCATGCATCAAACCGGGTTTAGTTGGGCTGCCTTTGTGTCACAAAGTAAATCTACTAAGTTATGTAGCTCGGCAGCCCTTGTCAGGCCACAGAGTAAATTTATCGAGTTGTGTAGCTCAGCGGCCGTTGTATCACAAAGTAAATCTACCGAGTTGTGTAGCTCGGCAGCTGTTGTGCCACAAAGTAAATCTACTGAGAAGTGAAGCTCGGCGGCGCCATTTGATCATGACGTGTGACATTTTCGGCACCAGCTAGACAAACGAACACTTTAAGTCTATGTTATTTATTAGGAAAAACTTATAAACCACAGTGGCGCCACTCTCGAGTCACTGAAATCAACGCGCTCGACCAAATTACTGGAAAAGTTATTGACGTGAGCAGCACACACATTCCAGTGAAGGCTTTGACAGGGTTAGTGCGAAATTTGAATTCTGATGTGAAAGCTTTTAAAAAAGTAAATTCAGTTTAATTTATTTTGTCAACAAGTTGATGATTGGATGCTCTTAGAAATAACAGAGAAAATTATCCGAAGAAATGTTTTTGAAGAAAGAAAAAGAATCCTGGGTTAAGCGCTAATCGGCCTTTGAACAACTGCGCCCTGTAATCGCGCCAGTAAAACAAAACTTAAAATGTTCTATTTACACGCCCGACGCACTCTGGCCGCTGTCTCCTCCGATTACAAGCACTTGACACCGAACCAGACGATACCTTTTCAAAATCTTCTTATAATCATTATACACAGTTTAAATAGAGGTTTCGTAGTACGCAACTCCTACGTTCAAAGTATGCCATAATCATATTTATTTATCGCAAGAACCATCCAATCTTCCCCCTCAACTGTTACCCGCCTGTACGCCTAAGAAACATATCGAACGCACTCTCCTAAGCTCCGATTACTCCTAGTTTTAGTTAACCTTGGATTCCACATGTGCAGTCACTGTCTTTCCATGCTCATTCCCTATTCCCACAAGAGGGAAACTTCGTTTGCGGTCTCTGATTCAGTGAGTCGAACTGTTTTCCATACCAATATTTTAAAACGTGGCCAAAAACACCGCTTGATCAAACTCTCAGTTAATTCACTTGAGGCTGAGGGACACTAAATACGAAAGCATCATTCTATATTAATGTTCTATTAACATTGTGATCTGCAGGGGTACTCACCATTTACGTTGAAAAACCGAAAATTCCGGATAGAAAATCAAATGGTTCCCGCCATTCCGTTTGAGAAGCTTCAGAAAACATCGGCTGTGATTTGATGCCATGCAATTTGTCTACTCTTTTTCGTTTGTTCGGCTGATTTGGATTGTAGCAGGTCGTTCTCTAGCCTCCCACGCAGGCGTTTTTAGGGGAGCTCGTCTTTCATCCCTGAGGGGAGGGATGAAAGAGGAGCTCCCCTAAAAATGCCTGCGCGGGAGGCTAGTCGTTCTCCCACCATATCAAATTTTCTAGTTTAATGTTTATGCACAAGATTTCCACGCAGGTGGTTTGTTTAAATGATAAGCACCCCTGCAGAGCAGCCTTTAGAGTAAACTCGAAGCCATTTCCGAGTTCCCCCGGGCCTCTGTATCAAAACGAGGGTAAGCGCTCAGCCTTTGATATGGAAATGATTTTTCATTGTCATCCAAATAAAATTCATTTTCACAAGAAAGGTTGTGCATGTGGCCTGGGTTTTTGGAACACGAAAGTGGCCAATTTTTTTTCATAATATGATAACTTTTCATTGCAGGCGTCTTGATTACTTTGTGGTGTCCGAGAGACTGGTGCCTAAACTATCCGATAGTCTGATCCGTCAGCGTGTTAAAGGAAGTGACCACTGTCAAGCTGTTTTACTGCTGGCTCTTTAGAAATGGAAAGAACACTTTGGAAATTTTAAAACTCTTATCGACTGTTTTGTTGCCATGTTACCAAAGACTTCAAACTACACTGTGCGACTTTTGTTGTAGAGTTTTTAATGTTAGACGCATGCACGAGTTATGACGGGTCCAATTAATTCCACGCTTTTCGACACTGTAAGCTTAGGCATGAGTCCAAATTTAAAAGACCTACCCGCATTCTTTTGTTCAAGGCACTTACTTGAGGCTTGGGGTAACGAAATACAGTGCTTTCTATGAAATTGTCCCCTGATTTCGTTGTGTGTGCTCTCTGGAGTGGAATGCGGAAAGGTCTGTTCTTCTGGTCGAAAATTAAATTTACCACTCGCCGCTAACTTTGAGTTAAACGTTACCGAAAATAAAGAGTTTGACTGCTCTTAGAGTCAACGTTGCCGATTAATTACATCCGATGTTAACGTTCATACAACCGGTGCAGTGCCAACGAAAT